AATACTTTTTCCCAGTCAGTGGCTTCCCTTTTTACCCTACTGGAGAAGTTTTTGGATGTGCATAGGTCATAATTTTTAGGCTGGTAGAAGCTCTGCTGTGTAAGGATACACATACATGAATACATATATGTACGTTACATATTCAAAATAATACATATATGGTAACAAACATAAAATGGATTCCTACTATCACATTTAAAAATAGTACTGGTTGTAAAAATAGAAGAATAACTAGTAAAACACATATGGGGTAAAAAACCCAAAACACTAAAAATAGAAAAAACAACAACAAAAATCACAGAATGATTTATCTGAAAGTCTCTCTGGTGCTCCGTCTTAGCAAAGGCCAATCTTCCTACAAATCAAACCCACAATGATCCATCTCTCCCCAGTAGCAGTGGCAAAGTTTAACAGGACAGCAAGTTATGAACACTGGAGAGGATGTGGAGAGATAGGAACTCGTATACATTGTTAGTGGGACTGTAAAATGGTACAACACTCTGGAAAGCAGTTTGGTGCTTCCCCAAAAAGCTAAACACAGAAATTCCATAGGACCCAATTATTCCACTATTTGGAATATACTGAGAATTGAGGTACAAACGGAGGCTTGTACATCAATGCTCAGACAAGCATTATTCACCATTGCAAGAACATGGAAACACCCCAAATGTCCAACCACAATTGAATGGACTGAGAAATTATGTTCCTTTCACATGATGGAATACTATGCAGCACGCAAGAGCAATGATTTTGTAAATCACTACCTACCTTGAGGGGGACTGGAGAGTATTATGCTAAGTGAACTGAGTCTCACAAGGACAAATACTCTTTAAGACCTTTATTGTAGAAATAGATAACTAGTAAAAAGTGTGTAAGGATCTAAGGGTGGGGAGGGTGGGAGCAGAGGGGTGATGATGGGTTGCGGGAGTGGATCATCGGATTGCACAATATGATGGGTGGAGGGAGGGATGGGTAAAAGAAATGGGAAAGATCCGGTGTGAAAAACAGTATATATGGACTTTGTAAGTAAACCAGTATAAAACAAAAATTTATTTTTAAAAAATCAGGAAGATGTGTGTAAAAGAAAAACTACATGAAATATTGTGATGTTTATGGAGAAAAAAAAGTCCAATTTTCCTTACATATTTTACACCTTTATCCCCAAAGAACAGGCTAATGTCTCTCCTGAATTAGACTTACAGCCCCACACTTCTCACTGCAGTTATTATCCTACATGTACATGTCATTAGTAGTCTGATCATGTGCGCTTCAGAAATTTATACATAATGGATATTGATTAGTATAGATTTTCTGACCTGCTTTCTTCACTAAAAGAAAAGTAAGACAACTGGACATTGTGTATGTTTTTCCTCATGCTCTGTCATAATTAACTGTTAATGTGATTTGCATTCAGTTGTAATGTATGGAATAAAGTTATTGACTCAATAAATTTCACTTATGAAAATATTATAGGCAAATAATCCTTTCTGGATAAATATTTTTTTAAAAAATCTTACGTTAGAGAGCAATTTTAGGTTTTTAAAAAGATGTTGTTGTTGTTAAGTGCCATCAAGACATAGATGACTCATTGTGACTCTATGAACAAAAGACCTGAACATTTGTATAACTTTCATTGTTTCTCCAAGTTCATAGAGTTTCCAGAAGCAAGCTATTTCGGAAGTGGATGCCAGTCCTGCTTCCAAGCTTGTTTTAACCATGGAGTTCCAGCAAACACTGTCCACAATGGGCAACCATTATCATATTTGACACATCAGTGTCACAGTGTTTAGCATCACAGCAACCAAGAGCTACTTCTGTATTAACAAATGCACAGACCAGTGCTATATCACCTAGAAGAATGTTTGACCAAAACCAATAAAACCAGGCCTGATGGCTGCAGATGAAAACCACCCTCCTTTGGCTTGGTAGGCTAACTTTCTATCCACTAGGTCAACAGAGCTCTGTGTTGTTATTGTTAACTGCTGTTGAGTCATAGATGACTCACAGTGACCCTATGAGCGAAAGACCTCAAAATTTGTATAAGATATCCATCACAAAGAAGTACTTTTTATTCTCCTTAACTACTTTGCCCAGAAAACTAGTTTATATTTGGTAATTAGAGTATAGCGTATATTTTAAAATCAATGAATTCTGGACTCTCATCTCAAGAACAGAGATAATATAATACGGCAGGCTAAAGTCTAAACATGAAAGGGCACTTAGGACTGCAGTCATTGCAACAGTCTTCACTCTTCAAGGTTATTCAGTTTGCTTTTCCAGACAACAGCAAAACAATAACCAAAGCAAAATCCCACTTTAATTTCACAGAATAGAAGTGTAAAATTAGGCTAAGAACAGACTAGAACATTTTCACAGCTAAATAAAGGGATTCATTTAGGGTTCATCTTAATGATGTTCTTGTAATAATTTAACAGATTTTACTTATGTACTTGGTTTTATTATATTTCATGAAAGGAACTACATTTATGTTTAAAAGAAATCTGGCACCTCTCAAGTACCTACAGCATTTCTGAAAAAAGAAAGAAAAAGGTAAATCAATGTAAAAGACCAAATTAATGTCAACCTTTACTAGAAGAAGATTTTAAATTACTCTACCTTATATTCCTTCTTCCATGCTTCAAAGAGGTCCATTAAAGCACTTCCTTCATCAATGAAGTCAACACTGAATCGATGTGATTTTGCAAAAGAGAAAATCGCTTTCATAGAACGCTCTGTCTCACTTGTGGCCCACAGTCCTCGGTTGGTGGTTGGGACGCGGTCATCTACTAGACCCTCTTCATCTTCAATCATCTCCTCAAATATCGCAGTCTGCCCTTTGACTCTGAAGACACACCAGGACAAGACAGTTATAACTGCACTGAGGCAGAGCTAGCCCTGCAAGGGGATGGTACTAATAACGCCAACAGGAAAGTGGCATCAATGACACCCTTACAGACAGGTTTTCAATGTCCTGTCTGTATGGTCATGCTTGTAAAGTTTTGGGAGAAGCATGGCAGTTCAGAAAATGATAGAGGCTTCATAATTTAACTAGTAGTTTCTGAGAGCAATCTGGCAAAAGATAAAAATGGCTATATATCCCAGGTTAAAATCTCATTCTGAGAATTAAAAAAATAAACACAAAAAATATACAAGCCACCTAGCATCACTAATAACCATGCAAACAAACCAGTATTATTTACAATCCCTTTTCAAGGGAGTGAAAATGCAGCCATCCCACAATTTCCATGTTTGTAAAAAGGGATAAACGCTGTTTATGTAATGACTGGATTCATCAAGTAGTTTAATCTCCCAAACAAAGATCAAAACATCAGATCTGTGTTGGAGAGAGGATTAAATAATAAGACCTAACATTTTACAGGATACTACTCTGTACCATAGGAGATCAGGAGATTGTAGTGTATAGCGTGCTGTGCTGATAACCAAAGGGTCAGCACTTAAAAAGCCACCAGCTGCTCTCAGGGAGAAAGATGGCAAGTCTCCTCTAAGATACTGACATTCAGAAACCCCAATGGAGGGACGAGTCAGCACTGAATTGATGGCAGTGGGGACTATGCACCAAACATAGTCACATAAACACTTAGGCTAACTTTTTTTAATATAAAAATCCAGCAAAGTGTTTATTGTCTTCATTTCCTGAACGAGGAAAGTGAAGCTTAGAGAAGTCATGTGCTCACAGCACTGAGTCTGCTGGATTATAGAATCTGTAATCTTACCATTACAAATCACTACCTAATATGAACATTTAGGAGGTAAAATGGAGACAGGTGAAACTGACCATATTAAATCTGACAATCTCAATGGTTTACTAAGTTTGATAAAGGGAAAAAAATACAATATCTTGAGAGAAAAAAAAAAGTATTCTTGTAATAAAAAAACTAAACCTGACAAAGCTTTCCTGATGGGGAATAATAAAAAAACTTACGTGTGAGAAAATAGCTTCGATTCATATTCTGTGAACAATTCATCAGCTTTACAAAAGACACAGCTGGAAAAGAAGATATTATTAAAGAAATATCCACAAATACTATCAGTAATCAATTTTCAATAGAGACTCTGTATTATTGTTTTGTTTGTTTGTTTTTTTTAACAACAGTTTAATTCTAGGGGGAATAATGAGATTTTATTTTTCTACTATGTAGCCCTTGAGAGGTTTTTTTTAAGTTTAATAATACATCTGTCTGTCTGCATAGGGAGCTCTAGTGGCAAGAAGCCACACTGTAATGCAGAAGAAACATGGTTCGAGGCCACTAGCTGCTCCATAGAAGAAAGATGGGCACTCTCTTCCTGTGAGATTTACTGCCTCTGAAAACTGCTGGAGGGTCAGCTCTGGGTTGGTTCTGACTCGATGGTACACAACAACAACAACAACAGAAAAGTTTACCTGAATTTGACGAAGTGATAAAGCTTTTTATTGTAAGACACTTTCATCTCTTAGGAAAAAAGTGTAACCCAATGGACAGATGAAATGTCACTGCATGAGCTCTCTTCTTTCCTACCAGTTAAGAGGAAGTCTGGCTGGTCGGAGATGGCAGATGGTTGCAGACTCAATAACAGCGCGAGAAGGAGGTCCTTCTAGGTTTTTCACAGCCTCCCGGACAAGCTTCTGAAATTTGTTCAGCTCTTCCATTTGTGTCGTAAGAAGGAACTGGAGTCCTCTGCAGTCATGGAATCTGATACCCATCACAAGCACCACATAAAACAAAGGAAAAGTCTATCAAGTTTTCCATATTAATAGTTGTTAAAGCAACAGAAGAGGCATGTAACATTTTACCCAGCTGAGGTGGAGTTCAGTTTACCTTACAGGTATATTCAGTTGGATTTGTCAAGGTGGGGAGCTCTGGTGGCCAAGGGAAGGAAAGGTGGGAAGTCTCCTCCTGTGTGATTTACTGCTTCTGAAAACCCACTGGAGGGTAGCTATGAGTCAGATCAATTAGACATTACAACAACAACTGTCAAGGTATAACAACAATGGGTTTTCTACAACAAACTAAAAAAACTCCAAAATACCACACCATATCAAACTCATGGCTGGTAAGTAGGAACTGACTCAGAGCTGACCTTCCAGCAGGTTTTTGAAGGCTGCTAACTGCACAGGAGGACAATGCCCATTATTCTTGAACTGCCAGAAAGGGGCCACCTTTTGGCTAGTAGTGGAACTTGCTACCCAATAGGCCATCAGAGCTCCTTTGTCATCCTAAAAGATACCAAAAAAAGTTTGACTGATTTTTGTACTTAAGAACTGATCAATATATTTTCCTATGACTTTTTCAGGTATTTCTGAAAATCAATAGTATCACCTGATACCTCTTTAATGGTGACTGACTAGAGATGGTATAATGGTGACTGACTAGAGATGGTACTCCTGATATTGTAATTATATATGGAGGGGTGATTTTAGAATGTGGTATTCAAAAAAAAAGAGAAGGCAAGAAAAAAACTACAAGAGTTAAATTCTTGATTACAAAGATTTAATTTTATTCAACTTTTATTATGGTTCAAAGAATTTTGTCAATCACTTTTCTTGCATAATAATCTCAATAGTTAACTGTTCTGTCCACTGTACATATGAAGGTTAATTAATTAGTTATGTTACAAAATTATTGTGTGGTAGATTTGGAGTTAAATTCTACCATTATACTCATATTTTTTTTATTTGTACAAATGGACTAGATACAGAACAGCTGCTTTATGAATATTTTCTAAAACAATTTGCACAAATACTTCAAAATTAGGTTAAGTAATAATATTCACACAAAGAAAAAAGAAGCTCTTTTATTTTTAACATTAAAGATTTAAATTGGACTTGTAAAGTTCACTTTTTTCTTTGCTAACTCATACTGAAGTAAATTGGAGCTGAAAAACAAAAAACAGTACTTAACTATATTCTTTGCAAAGTTTTTCTAGCAAGTCCTTGTGCATAAAGAAAAGGAAAAAAAATGGAGCAGCAAATTTTTATTACACTAAGTGGAAATAAAATTGTATCATCTCATTTGGGCAACAACAGCAAGGTTCAACAGGACAACAAACAACAAATGGAGCCTGGAGGTCATTATGCTGAGTGAAATAGCTCAGTCACAAAAGGACAAATACTGTATAACACCACTGTTATAAAATAGGATAGATGGGGGGGTGGAGTGGGCAGGGAATGGAAGAGTGGCTAGATAATGAATACGGCAGTAGGACAGACCAGGGGAAGAATTGTCCGAAAGGAATGATTAGGCATTATACGTATGACAACAATCCGGAACAAGGGATGTACTGCTGCATGGTCTGGGGGAGGGGCAGGATGAAAGAAAATGTGCAACAACAAAAAAGAAAAAAAATTACAAAACAAAAAACCAACCAAAAAAAAACCCCCTAATACTAAATGGAAGGTACTATTCTAAGTAAGTACTCAAAACATTATTTAATCCTCACAATAATGCTCTGTGGTTTGCAGAAAAAAAGAAACTGAGGCAGAGAGAGCGTAAGTACCTTTTTAACAGCTAATAAATAGTGGAGATAAGACTTGAAGATCACTACTTTCTTTTACTAATTACTTGTTGTTCTTGATAGACCATGACTCATAGCGACTCTATAAACAAAAAACCTGAAGCCCCCCTACAACTAACTATTGACATTTATCAAAGTTCATAGAGTTTCCAGAGGCATGCCGTTTAGGAAGTTTTGTCATTTATATAAGTTCCTTCATGCAAGTATACTGTGTTTTACACAGTCTTTCATTTACATTATATGCCATTCATTTATACTGTGGGTTTTTACCCTCTTTCACTCATCTTCCTAATAACTTTTGTGAAAGCGTGTAAGTCAGCTACTTCATGCCTCAAGCCCTTCTAGCCAATTACCCCTTTTATAGCCAATTTCTACTTTCCCCAACCCATTCAAACCAGGTACTCTGCGGGAACAAGCATGACTCCTTTGCTGAAGGATCCTCTGTTCTACTTAGAAAATTTGAACACCTGCATCCACAAGCAAAGCCCAGTCCAGAGCAAGCCATCAGGCTGCAGCAATATATCCTAGCTCCCAGCATGACTGATCCTCTCTTCATCTGGTTGGGTTCTAGTCAGCTCATGCCTAGCCATCCAAGGCGAGGTTTAAAGGGGTTTTAGCTGCGAGCTCAGGAGCCCACACTTCTCCCTTCGTTCCAGACCTGTGGCCTCCTCACCCAGACCTAGCACCCACTAGGGGCCAAGGCAAGTCACTAAGCCAGGGGTCCTCTTGACTCCCTGCTCCTCAAGACAAAAACTCTTCCCTGCTCATCTAAACTTCTCAATCCTAGGTGGGCAGCACTGAAGAAACCACAAAGTTCAGCCCGTTTCTCTGTTGTATTGTCCCCACTTCCATTCCTGTGATCCAGGTAATCACTACGAACGAGCAAACTCCAACCTCAATTTTTGGAAGTGGGCTCTGATGTCATTTTAAATCACAGACAATAATTAGAAACAATCTCTGAATATAGGTATATAAATATTATAGAAGTAATTATATATGTTCACACTAAACACACTGACGTAAGTTTTACTTCTATTTTATCGAACACTTTTGAAAAGAATGTGCATAAGGGATGGTGCATTTTTTAATGGTTTTTTCACAGCCCATATACAGACCTGGAACTTTAAAGTGTGCCCAAGAGCACAACATACTGAACAGTACAGGAATAAAAAAGACTGCTGGGATCTGTATGGTCAAAAGGTAAGGAGTAAAATAACAGAGGTCCAAGTTAATATGCACACATGAAAAGCTGTATATTCTTTATGGACCTTGGCAGGCATTTAGAAAAGCTTTTTGAATAGTAAACTGAAGCACGTAAAACATTTCAAAGAAGACAAAATTATGCTAAGATTTCTCACTGAAAATTGTGATCAACCCCAACATTGACCTCTCATTAGGAGGTAATCTGAGAATTATTAAGACTCTGTCTCCCCGCCTAGAGTCAACAGTTCTGCCACAATGTTTAACTGTCCATGTTAAATACTCTTCTGGGTTAAGTTATCAAAAGTACTTTCAGTAAAGAATAAATCAGCAATTATACCTCATTTATACTTAAGGAAAAAATAAGCCCACTCATCTACACAGACCCTAAAAATGGTGAGTGTGGATGAAGAGAAAGATGGGAGAGAGAACAGAATTACATGTACAATGAGAAGTCCAGGTCATTGTAGCACTAAGGTGCTTAACTCCAGAGGAAATGAAGTATACACTGGTCATGTCAACCCGTACATCAAGAAAAAGTGTCTCAAAAACAAAGCCAATGTCAAAACTGTGCTTAAAGGTGGCTTTGGATGTGTTCAAGACAAGGAAAAAACACAACACACAGCTCACCACACATTGTTAAAAAGATATAACAATGATTAACAGAAAAATACTATTCTGTTAAACAGAAACTATTTTTAACTTGTTTTTAAACATATTTAAACTATTTTTGATATGTGCCACTAGAATTATGTAAAAACTAGATGCTCATAACAATTATATCAAAACCAAATCAAGACATTTAACTGTGCCTTTCTAAGAAGATGGCGCCGAAAGCTAAAAAGGAAACCCCTGCCCCTCCCAAAACTGAAGCCAAAGCAAAGGCATTATAGGCCAAGAAGGCGTCCTGAAGGGCATCGACAGCCAAAAACCAAAAGAAGATCCGCACGTCACCCACCTTCCGGTGGCTTAAGACGCTGAGACTCCGACAGCAGCCCAAATACCCCCGGAAGAGTGCCCCCAGGAGAAACAAGCTTGACCACTATGCCATCATCAAATTTCCCCTGACCACTGAGTCAGCTATGAAGAAGACAGAAGATAACAACACACTTGTGTTCATTGTGGATGTCAAGGCCAATAAGCACCAAATTAAACAAGCTGTAAAGAAGCTCTATGACATTGATGTGGTTAAGGTCAACACTTTGATTAGGCCTGATGGAGAGAAGAAGGCCCATGTTCGACTTGCTCCTGATTAGGATGTTGCCA